CTCCGCCCTACAATGCCTCGTTGCCATTTACATCATCCTTCTTCCTCGTAATGAATGCGATTCCGTCCTCCTTATTTCATTTTTCACCGAGTGCAAAATGTAACGTCTTGCCCGCCTGCGACCTACATAACCAGTCTAACCTCTCTCTCTCCCACCCTCCAGAGGCAGAAGGTGCTGGACCGAGAAGCCTCTGCTATATTTCTCTCCACTCGGATCTCTTGCTGTGCTCCCCTCTCACTCCGGGCAGCTCGGCCGCTGCGGGTATCAGTTACCGAGGTGAACGCACCCCCGGGAACCCCACATCGCACACGGGACAATTTCAACCACCCCATTGCTGCCCCACTATTGCTCGTGTCGCCCGGCGTGTCGGCACGCCAGGGGGCCCCGGGCCCAGGCCCAGGACGCCCATGACGGCGCCTCATGGCGTCGGGGCCCCATATCTGCATACTGTGGCGTCTGGTATGCGCGCGAGAGCGAGCGACTCCGGCGAGAGCGACTAATAACAAGATGTGCCGCAAACACACATTCCAGCCAAATGCGCAAAATGGGATATTTTTAAACCCTCGCCAACGTGGAATTCCCACATACAAAAAGCTAAAAAAAATTGTCTTTTTGCTGCTCCAAAGCGGGATTGCCAGCCATGGTTGAATAATTGCAAACTTGAATTTCTTGTTCCACATTTCAACACGGTGTCATGCATATGTTCACATATCAGCGCACACGCGGCGGGGAGGCAGGGGTGCTACGGAAAAAAGTCGGCCCGGCGGAGAAAAACGAGTTGGCAAGTTGTCAACTACCCCTTGTATGCTCTTCTCCCTCCTCCCCCGCAGAGCAGAGCCACCCCAGCGGACAACCGCCTGGAACGCCCTTACCGACCCCACCACACCGCGCCACGCCCCCGCAGCGCGTGCAGCAAGCTTCGCACAATCCTCCAACAGTGTCACCCCATCCATCCGTTTTGGAAGTTTTCTGTAAAATTGACGCCAGAGGCGCCCCATCTCTGTCTGCCTCCATCCACGCTCACCCCCTTCCCACTCTCCCTTTCACTTCAAACGGCAAAAAAACACGCTTAAACAAATTTAAAACTCGGGGCCGGCTGCACGAATCAGGGCACGAATTACTTTGCGATTGTGAACCTAACGGTTTATTCCCCACGGGCCTAACTCGTTCACCGCACATTCATAACACTCTTCCCTTCTTTTTATTTTTTGTGTTTCCTCGACAAAGATAGCGGCGCGCAAACAAGTCCGGGAGGCGCCCCTGGATGCTGTTTGGATCTGCTGGGGTCCATTCAGTCAGTCATGATGGACCGCCCCGCGTAGGCCGCCCCCTCCCATCTATTTCGACAGAGATTTTTTGCACGGCGATCCTCTCGCTGAAGCAAGACGCCCTGTTTTCATCGAGGCTCCACTGCTCAGGCCCTTCTGCATCCCTCTAAAGAGTCGATCCGGCTCGTTGGGAGGGGGCGGTCCGTAAACTTGGCGAGTACAGCGCGGTGGGGGTGCGGAGTGCAGCTCCGCAGGCCCCAGACCCCGCTCCAGGACGGCCCCTCGCTTCCCTTCCAAGACGCCGCGCCGGACCCCATCAGCCTCCCCCACCCCCGCTGCTGCCGCCTTCGCGAAATATCATCCCTCACTTTCCACATTCGAGTTACTGGAGTGATTCAACAACAGAGCGCTCGACAAGGGAAGCGGCACCCCCTCCGAGGGGTGCATCATTGGTCCCCACAGGGCTCCTATAAGAGATGCGTGTTTTGATATCCGAGCCGAGAAGCCCTGTCCGTCCCGGGTCCGCCTATCCGCCGCTCCAGGCCCGAGTTCGGGGCAGCACTCTCTCACTTACGGGGCTGAGACGACACAACCGCCACGGGCTCCAAAATAATCCGCGCACACGACACGAGGGCCGTTTTCCTTAAATAAAGAAAATAAATTATCGGAGGACAAACTAGCGACGGCGGCAGCAGCAGTAACGTGAGCCCTGTGCGACTGTGCGTCGCGTGCAAAGCCGCGGCCGCCAGGACAGCGCGGTATATCTTGTTTATACGTATCGTCGTGCTCAGTCGGTTTATGCCCCTAATTTTATTCCCTTTTTTTTCCTCCCTTATTCCCCTGCGGCCTGCTGAATTAAGTAGGTGCAGTGGTCGCTATGCAGCCAGCCCAGCGGCAAGGGGCTGCGTCCGCGTGTAGTACACACGGACCACCACTACTCCGCCCTGCAGAATCACTTTTCGGACGCCCCCGGCCCCGGCCAGACATACGACACAGGACGCCGGCGCGACGCCGTCTCCGCCCGGGGCTATGACCGTGTCATGGGACGCGAGGGGAGGGGGGGGGGATGCCGAGCGAGACAGACGTCTAGTCGACGATTTGTCACAAGGCCCCCCGGTTCGTCCTCAAAGTTTCTCTGAATGAAGCCTGCGAGCGCCGACGTCGCGGCGCCCAAAGGCCGAAAGGAACATTAAATACCCCCTCCACCCCCACCCCTAGGCGTCTCTATGATCCAAACAGCAGCCTGCCGTCGAATCCTTGAACTTTCCGCATTTTCAGTGGCGTTAAAATTTCACGAGTTTCCAAACCGGCCATTTCACGGTGGGTGAGGCACTGGCACATGGCCTTACCGGGCGCTCGGAAGGGCGGGCCCGGCGGGAAGCGCTCCGCCGACTGCAGGAAGGGGGCAACCTCGGGCTGGGCCAGGTGGAAGCTGCGGCCGTGGTGCGTCACGTCGTGCGCCCGAGACACGCAGTAGAACGGCGACTCATCCTGCAAACAACGAAATCATGTTAATTTTACGCGTTTGATTGTGGTTGTCGTGGTTGTAGTTGTCGGGGTTGTGGTTGTCGTGGTTGTGGTTGTCGTGATTGCTGTTTGTGGTTTTCGTGGTCGTGGTCGTGGTTTACGTGGTCGTGGTGGTCGTGATGGTCGTGGTGGTGGTCGTAGTGGTGGTCGTAGTGTGTTGGTGATGGTCGTGGTGTGGTGTAGTGATGGTCGGGGTGTGGTGTGGTGATGGTCGTGGTCAGGGTGGTCGGGGTGGTCGTGGTGATCGTGGTGGTGGTCGTGATCGTGGTTTAGCGGCGAGTGCGCCACAAAGAACATCCACAAAATTACAGAGCACACGACATCTATATTGCAGAGTATAGAGCGACGCACAGCACCGGCGCTGCGCCCCTGCTGCTAGGAGCTTCGCAGGAGGGGCGTATCTTGGAGAGGCGGCGGCGGCGGCCAACGGGCAGCACTAGGGTGCCCAGGCCCGCGGGGCTAAATGTGTGATTAGGAAGTGATTCATTACCTCTGCCGCCCCGC